CTACCACTGCCTTGGGCAGATTCATGCCTATTTTCCTGATTGAACTGATATGGTGACACTAACATTTTGAAGGTGAGTGCCTGATATTTAAAAATATACACCTCTAAGTTAAAGCTTGGGATCAAGTAAGAAACATTTGAGAGGGCATGGAGAAGAGAATTGCTATTAGTTTCATTCAATTGACCAGAGAACCACACCATGGCATACCAGAGAAAAGCAAGCATGTTTTGTGATATCCAAATTGCTATTACCCCAGACAGCTCCAGGAAACTCCAGATGGCTCCAGGAGTTCACTTATTGCCTTTCAAGGAAGTGGGTGCAAGCTTAGTACCTGTGATGCAGATACAGTGGCTAGTGAAGAAGTTAATTTTTTTTGCTGAAAATAGACCTTTTTCAGAAAGTCTATTTTCATTGTTGATATAACTGCTTTTCAGATATAAAGTCTCATTCAGGATTTTCCTTCTAATCAAAATGCCACCTTCTTGCTTTTTCAGATATGAATCTTTTGAAGGCTCTCCACATTTGGCATTGTAAGCTCTGCCCCTAAAATAAAAATAAAAATTATGCTGCCTATACTGGACATGCAAACACATAGCAACTCCTGTTGCAAAGATCTATCACTCAAAAAATATAGAATCAAAGAGGGTGTTGGGTTAATTGGGATGAATTGACACTTCATGAAGTGATTTTCTTCATTGAATAAAAGGAACTGTTTTTTCTCCTTCAGGCTTGAATTATCTGAGTCAGATATGAAATATTAAAGTCTCTTCCTAATCCTTATTTGAGTCTTTGGAATTCAGTCATGTTTTTGACATGGAAGGACAGTAGTCATATATGATGTGGCTCACAGCAGTAAAATATAGATGCACTGTATTGTGTGAACCACAAAGGTAATACTGGGTTGCTGCATGGACAGGTGTGCCCATGCTCTCAACACTGATTGACCCTTTACAGCTCAATGCTAATTGGCTCATCATTGCAAAGACACTGCTGTCCACACCAGGCTAGGAAAAAAAACCTTCTGAACCTGTGAATGAGGTTCATGGGAACAGAGGTGCATGGGCAGGTGGTCCACTTAGTCCACTTGCATATTCTTCCCAGGAAATTCCAATTTGTCACCTCAGGTTCCTGGAAACATTTTTATTTTTCATACACTGGTCCACACCCTCATCCCTGATTGGCATTATATTGGCAATAAATAGCATCAACAACATGCACATTCTGTCTCTATGCAATTTGCTTCACTTGTTCCTGTGCAGGCACTGGAATAAGTATGCATTATTGCTTTCCTTTTTTTACTAGAATATATTGGAATATTCCATACATGGTAACATAAATTGACAGGTAGTTTGTGTTCTTGCAGACAGGCCAGGCTTGCTTGTGAGTTGTATGCACTCATTATGAGTGAATAGAATACTGTTGCTTGGTAGCAGGTGCAAGGCATATTCCAGAATCCAGTGGTATCTCCTTGATGTACCTGTCCTGGATGTGATGGAGATGATTGTTTCAGTTTAAGTGAACTGCAATTTAGCTTACTTTTATATGTAGGTGTGGGTCACACAGACTGAGGTGGGACCCATGTGAGTCATGCTGTAGACAATTACCTAGAGGGTCAGGGTTCCTTACCCAAACCCATCATCTGACCCATCATGGACAACTCACTTTTCCACTCAAAATCACTAAATTTAAAGCTGAATTCCCTACTTTGGACATGGAAAGAAACCTAAAATGGTCTCTTATTTTAGCACTTAGTTTGAAACATTATTTTTCTTAATCTCCTCCAAAGATCTGATGGTCCTCCTGGGCACAGGTGTGAAAGAATCAAGAGACTTCATTTACTCACTCAACATGTTACTTGCTAAACTGGCAGTGCCTTAAGCATTATTAATGGGGACCCTAGGTTTATTTCTAAGACATACAGGTTATGGCAAAAAAGTGCAGTGAAATTAACCCCAATATCTCCACCCATACTGGAGCTATTTATTTGTAACATTCACCATCCACAGGTGAGTATACCAATTGCATATTTTGGCTGAAGAGTTCAGGGGGGGGGGGGGGCAGGACAGCGAAGCAGGACAAACTCCACCACCACCAGCAGAGAAAATCATTGCCTCCAAGGGGACATCAGGAGGTGGCTGCCCCCTGTTCCCTGTAAAATACACCCCTGGAGTATACTGCTCCTCAAAATTTCATAATTATGACTTTGGCCCCAAAAAATTGAATCAGCTACTAATGAAAAGAAATCTGACATGAGAATGAACAAGAGTACCTCCTGGTTGTGAAGAAGAGGAAACACTTGAGCACTGTCCTTCCTGGTCATTGAGACTACTTTGAACTATTCTGTAACTCTAATTCATTCTAGGAGGTGGTCGTCTCTTGCAGATGGTTTTCATGAGCTTTTCCCTGTGAATAGCATATGAATCGATGAGTATTAATCTAAAGAGTTTTCTTGCATCTTAATTAGTACAGATTTAGCCATCAAATGAATAATTTCTTTTGCTACATCTTGCATTGAAAAGTTAAGAACATCCATCTGTTATGCACACCCTCCTACTGGGTGTTCCATTAATCATTGAACCATTTAAGTGTTCATTTAGAGGAAACAATATCTTGTACAGTCATGGTTTTTTGTAAAAAAAAATATGCCAACTGTATGGACATTCACTGGCAAAAAATAATCCCTTTTCTAATGCACACCATTCTCATTGATGCACTTATGACATCAATGTTAGACAGTTAATTGTAGCCCACAATGTTTCAGCAGAAATCTCATGAATGTAGGAAATTTTTTTTTTTCAGCTCTTGCACATTTTGGGGACTGTTAGTGTACACATTGCTCTCGAGACACTCCCACAAAAAAGGGCAGGAATGGTTAGATCAGGTGAACTTGCTGCAATATAGTGGATTTTCTGGGAGTATCTCATGTCTAAAGTTCTCTGTCCAGTCACTATTGAGTGATTTTCAAGATAAGGTTCCACAATCCTTGTATGGTGACTCTGGCTCCAGGGATCCATGGTCAACTTAGCAGTATTTTATATCCAATCTAAAATGAAATTGTTTACAAAGTTTTCCTTTAAAATAAAGTCATCATGGTCCCAAAATAAATGGAACACCATGTTTGAAGCTGTCATAGCAGCTGGTCATAAATTTCAAATTGCTTTAATACAGGCATAACACTGAATTCCAGAAGTAGACAACAGCATACTTCTTGATGACTTATGATGATTACCCAAACAAGAAACACTGAGCCTCTCTGACGTAAACAATATGCCTGAATTCATTCTGGTTCAAGAGTGTGATCAATGCAGAAGAGGTTCACACTTGATTGCTTTCCTCATTTTTGAACTTCCAGTCTAGGTAGAACATCTTCATGCCCTTTTCCAAAACTATCCAACAGAGGAAAGGAGAGATTATTCATTTATTGCTAGTGAGGAAGACCTTTTCCAACTCAATGTGGTATTGACCTATTAATACCAGTATCATACTAAGTTGAGGAAAATCGCAGTTTCATTTGTGGAAATTTAAGAAAATTCATGTGAATTTTGTGCTAGTTATCCAGTCTCAAGAGGATCCTTTGTGCTTCTAGTGCTGTCAAGTAGTCTGCTTCCATTATTAACAACTATCTCAGTTAACACTTTCACACCCAGTGATACTTGCTCTTGCAGTCCCCATATCCCAGGCTTTTTCAACTGTTTCTTGAAATTCAGTGAAAATCACTGTAATAAATTATTTTTATTTTTCCCTCAAAGTTAACAGATTCAAATATTTTCGCAGCAACAACGATTAAATAAAAAGAAGACATCGAAATTTGCAAGTGGAAATCAAGCTAAAAAAAAAAAACCACCTAAAAAACTTTCACTATTTGTGTGAAAGGTTCTCCAATGGCTATTCCTTGCTGTGTCCTAAATTTTATAGCTTGCCCTTGTATGGCACATCTCAAAACACTCTCTTATGCACGGGGCCTTATTACAAGACTTCCAATAGAATTAGGTACTCTTCCTCATTGCTTACAGCATTACAGCAATGGCAGTACTGCCTGACAAACATGTGTAAAAAATATTTCACTATAGGGTAGAATTCAATGCAGCCACCTGCCAACTATTGGTGTCTTTCAAATTAGAATGTTGTTTAGAGGTGGTAGTAAGCTTAAGCACACCATGGCATTAGTGGTATGATGTGCCAGGAATTTCAAATTGCATTAGCTGCAAATGAAGGGCTTGGACATTAGTGCCAAACATGTCACCCCTTCTTATGAAGGTTTTGGGTGTGAAAGTGTTAAGTTCCAATGAGTTGATTACCACTCCAAGTATCATCCTTGGTGCATCACAGCATGACATCCTGAAGATGTCAGCCTAGTTCATCTTGATGTGCCTGTGGGCATCCCCTGGCTATTCTATGGCATTCCACTATGGGAAGCATGCAATTGAAAAATACACATCTTACTGACATTCCATAGGATGGAACCAGTTCCCTCACTCCATTTCACTACTGCATCCTCCAAATAGCATCCATCTATGCATTGTTTATTCAATGGATGAAAAACCAGGCATTTTGAAAGCTTGTGGAAGATTTTCCTTTGGCTTGTGAAAGTAGATCCAAGGTACATCACAAAATGTGAGTGATGTGGATATCCAACATATCATGTCTGATGTATATTCTTGAGAAGTACAGTATATTATGAAACCTTGGATCTGGGCAGAACAGGATATCCATTGGATGACTGATTCCATCTTCACCTTTGCTGGAACTGACTCCACTATCCCAACCAATGCAAGAAACTAGAGTCTAAGATGAAAACCTACCTCCATGCGTATCATATGAACTTACTTTTTCCCTTTGACATCTTCTTCTGGGTAAAAAGTATTGCTGGGATCTGACACCAGTTGGATGCATAGCTTCTGGTTCAGTTATTAGAAATAACAGATCAGGCATCAGAATTATGATCTGGTGGTTGTAATACAGATGATGGGAGAAAATAAGGTGTGGGTTGTTGTCATCAGGATGATGGAGAGGATCGGAGTGAAGAGGATCAGGCTTCAAGCTCTGATGATGAAGATGAACAGCCAAAGAAGAGGCAGCACAAATCCAGGTTTGTTTGTCAACAGATAAAATGATGAAGAGATGGGTTTTCTTTGTTTCAAAAGTTGGTGTGATCCAGAAGATACATATCACTTTAATTTTTTTAATTTAATCATTAAAACTTCTTTACAAATAACCAAACAATAACTTAGTAACCCAGAGTTTTATCTCTAAAGAGTTGGATGTACAAATGACATTTTTTAACTCCCATTATTTTTACCTTGGGTTGGACTTTTTTCTGTCTCAGTACTTGAAAAATTATATTTTTTAATAATTTAAAAGTAATGCCAGTAATTAGTAATTTTAGGTAGCATGAAAATGGGCAAAACTTAAAAAAATTGCTGTTGCATATAACCAATTCCTGTAAATAAATATACCTAACCAAGAAGTATCCTATTCCATAAAACATCCATATTTTTTATTTCCCTAACTACCCCCTATATATAAGTCTAGAGTATCCTGAGATCCTCAGGAATGAAGTGCAGGGCATATTTGATGTAGTTCCTTACAAGACTTGCTGACATTAATGAAATAATGATGATACACTGGGATCATATTACAGCAGTGAGGGGAGTGACTCTGACTCCTCATCAAGTTCATCAGCCAAAGAGGATGAAGAATCTTGGGATGGTGACGAATCACGGAATGATGCAAAAGATCTTGATGATGAAGATTCAAAGAGAGAAAGCACAGCATCCTCTTCTCTCACCCCCAGAAAGGAGCGCTTTGCAGATCTCAAACAGGTTGGCTTCCTGAAATTTCCATCAGCTATCTGCAAACTGCTTTGGAGAGAGCACATTAATGCAGTTGTGGTTCCCAAGACCAAAGTTAATGCTATAGTTTTGGCTTTTTGATATAGTACTGGGAAGAGAATCCAGATGTTTATGGGATCCGAAGATCAGGGAGAAGCAGGAAGGAGCCTGAAAGACTACAGATTATTGAGTCTGATTCCAATGATGCCCCTCGAAGCTCTGTGAGGAAGGCAGAAGGACGGTCTGTCTACAAGTGAACTTTTTCTCCGTCATAAATTATTTTTTCATGAGCTTGTTGATGAAATGTATCTTCTTGAAATAGAGTGAAGCAAAGAGGTCAAAGACTGTCAGATGAAGATGAGGATTCCAAAGAAGATGATTCTGAGGAGGAATCATGTGCATCGAGGAGAAGCAGGCATAAGGAACTGCCGAAGAGGTCCCAGAGTTCCTTGAAGAATGCCAAAAAGTCTCGTTCACTTTCTTCAAGAAAACGGGTCCAATTGAGTGAAACTAGTGAAGATGAATCTAGCAGTGGGAGTCTGTATGAAGAATCTGATGCTGAACCCTCCTCCTCCCCCAAGAAGTAATTTATTGTTTTCTGAAGTCACTTCAAGAAGGTAATCCAGGAAGTGAAAAATGTTAATATTTTTTTCAGGAGAGCTGGGCGCTCTCGTACTCAAAGGTCAGGAGCACAGGTTAGTTACAAAGAAGCCAGTTCAGAGGGAGAACAGGAAGGAGATGAGGGAAATCAGGAGACAGAGAAAATGGCTGATGTCACTCAGCCCCAAGAGGAGCTTGGTGAATGTATCGAGAAGATCCTAAATTATCGATATGGTAGAAAAGGAGGTAGGTAATTACCTAATTTTTCAGCATTGGGTCTTATCTATGCCTCCTAGTTGAATCTTCCTGGATCATTTTAGCCACTGGTGCCGCCACGACAATCTATGCTATCGAGAAAAATGGTGATCCAAATGTAGAATCAGGGAAGGATGATGAGAAAAAGGAACGCCAGTTCCTTATCAAATGGCAAGGCTGGTCCCACCTGCACAACACATGGGAATCTATGGTCACCTTGAAAGAACAGAATGTGCGGGGAATGAAAAAGGTGGAGAATTACCTGAAGCGGGAAGATGAGATCCAAGCATGGAGAGATGGAGCATCCCCTGAGGATATTGAGTACCTAGAATGCCAGATTGAAATGGCCCAGGACCTATATCTGTCCTATCTCAAAGTTGAGAGGATTGTTGGTATGTTTTTTTTTTTCAACAAATGCCCTTCCTTGTTTAATTGCATTAAGTTCTTCATTGACAGGATGTTATTTCTGTGTAGCTTCCTTTGTGAAGGGGGCCACCCAGGAACCAGATTACCTTGTAAAGTGGGAGAACCTCCCATATTCTGAAGCAACATGGGAAGATGGAGCACTTATTGGAGATAAGTATGGAGACAAAATCAAAGACTTCGAACGGCGTGAGGATAGCACCCGCACACCAACCAAGCTCTGTCGTGTCCTCAAGTTTCGACCCAAGTTCATGGCTCTGAAGTACCAACCCACGTATATTGGGGGACATGATAATGACACAGTGAAGCTCAGAGACTATCAACTGGATGGGCTCAACTGGCTTGTACATTCCTGGTGCAAGTAAGAGCATTTTGTGTATTTCCTAGTGCTGCTCAATTGACTTCTGTAGTGTCAATAGTCTGGAATAATCTCTATGAATTTCTGTAATGCTAGATTTTTAAGATGCTGATCATGAGGGGTAATTTTTTAAATTGAAAATGTTATGTATTTACAGGAATAATTCTGTGATCCTAGCAGATGAAATGGGACTGGGAAAGACAATCCAAGTGATCTGCTTCCTGAGTTACCTCTATGAGGCACAAAGTCTTTATGGTCCATTCCTAATCGTTGTTCCATTGTCCACTCTTACATCATGGCAACGGGAAACAGCCACGTGGTTCCCATCCCTTAATCTTGTCACATATATTGGGGATGTGAATTCCCGCAATCTCATTCGACAATATGAGTGGTGTCACTTGGGGAACAAGAGACTCAAGTTCAATGCAATCCTCACCACTTATGAGATTTTGCTCAAGGACAAGGCCTTCCTCGGCAGTATCTCATGGGCTGTGAGTCGCCTACACTGTACCCAGAATGACAGCAACAGGAAAGTATGAAGATCTTGAATTATCTTGTTTATAATTTAGGTACTTGTGGTGGATGAGGCACATCGATTAAAAAATGAGGACTCCCTGCTGTACAAGAGTCTCATGGACTTTGACACGAATCACCGAGTTCTTGTAACAGGAACTCCTCTCCAGAATTCTTTGAAGGAACTTTGGGCCCTTCTTCACTTCATCATGCCTGAAAGGTGCCTAAAAATTTCGGAAGAAAGTTGTTCTCATTCATATTTGCAATGATTTTGCTTTTCTTATACATGAGCCAAACCCTATTTGACTTTTTCATAATTGAAGGCAATCTCATATGACATTGGCTTTTATGGCTGCTGTTCTTAGCTCTGACAGTTCATAATGATATTGATTGCTTTGTTCTGTGAGAAAGGACTAAGGTGGCATTAAACTTTTGGTGCATTTGCACTGTTTTATAAATGAGTATTTTTGATATAGCCAGTTTTGATTCTTTCATTTTGATTTCCAGTATATATTGTTGATAGGTTTGATAACTGGAAGGAATTTGAGAGTGAGCACGCAGCAGAAAAAGCAGCTGAGAAAGGCTACTTGCGACTGCACAAACTCCTGGAGCCATTCATTCTGCGTCGAGTGAAGAAGGATGTTGAGAAGTCTCTGCCAGCCAAGGTGGAGCAGATCCTGCGGGTAGAGATGACATCCAGTCAAAAGCAGTATTACAAGTGGATCCTAACCAAGAATTATGAGGCCTTAAGGAAGGGGAACAGAGGGTCTCTATCCACTTTTGCAAACATTATTGTGGAGCTGAAAAAGTGCTGTAACCATGCATTTCTCACCAAACCACCTGAATATAGTCAATCTCAGTCTCAGAGTGAGCGATTGCAGGTGAGTGGTCAGTTGATTGAGAATAAGAATTTTATTAAGGGGGGGAATACTATATTATTCTCTCATGGCAGCTTTTGCTTACTACCTCATTGCCATATGCACATGCCTACACCCAGCTGCAATTGGCAATGAAAGAGTGTATCCCTTTAGCAAATCATAGTCTTGCTATTACAATTGAGGACAAATAGATTGGGTTTTGCCAAGTTACCTTCTTTTTAAGAAGGAGGCAAAGAAATTGTCTTGCACCATATTCCTGGGAAGGGCAAGGTAAAGCAAAAGAACTCTAGTTTGCTTGCTAACACAATTTGAGTGTATTTGTGACATTTTGTGTTTATTTCTAAGGAAAAAAAAGTTACAGGTATGGAAAATAAATCAAGTATTCCATATCTGCCTCTCTTGTTTGCAGCATCTAAGGAAAGGCAGTGGGAAGTTGTTGCTGCTAGACAAGCTCCTAGTGCGGCTAAGAGAGACGGGGCATCGAGTCCTCATCTTTTCACAGATGGTTCGCATGTTGGACATCCTTGGAGAATACCTTCAGCTCCGACACTTCCCCTTCCAGCGATTGGATGGGGGGATCAAGGGAGAGCTTCGTCGCCAGGCCCTTGATCATTTCAATGCTCCTGGGTCTCTGGTATAAATCTTCCTGTCTTTCCAGTATTTATGACTACTGTAATGGATTTTTTTTAACACCAAGATGATCATTTCATGCAGGACTTCTGTTTCCTGTTATCAACTCGAGCAGGTGGTCTTGGGATCAACCTTGCCACAGCAGACACTGTTGTCATTTTTGACTCTGACTGGAATCCTCAGAACGATCTGCAAGCTCAGTCACGAGCTCATCGTATTGGCCAGAAGAATCAAGTATGAGCATGACATTTGACATTTTGCATGTGATAAGCCATCCTTTCATAATGTCATTTTTGTTCATCATTACAACCTGAGGAAGCCTAGTAAACTTTGGCTCTGATGAAATATGGTTTTACTTCTATTTGAGATTCCAATATTATTCTGCTGGTGGAAGCTCCAACAACCAATCTTTATGGAGCAAAGTAATTTTGACCATATTTTGTAAGCTAATACTACTGGCAGTGAAATCATAGCTCCTGCTGCCTAATGAATTTTTTTTGTGCTTACCAGGAAAAACTCATTGGGTTTCTAGGAAATTTCACCTCCAATAGTGTTACCTTACAAGTCAAAGTAGGTTCCATGTTGTACCTCCATTTCCACTTTTTTGGTTCCTGAGTTTTTCTTATGACAGTTTTCATGCCTGCTATGGTTCCATATGCAAATCAAGACCAAGCTTCAGAACAAGACTTAGCCTGTCCCCACATGTCATTGGATCTACACTTCCTATCACTATTTTCAGCTTTTTGTTGAGTATGAAAAGAAATAAGCTTTTACTGGCATATCAAATATAAAGTGAATGCTGATGACTAATGGAAAAGAGAGGGAGGAGTTCCAAAGCCAGAATCTGATAAAAGTCTTGACCATCCTTGTCAATGTACTGTATTATAGGAGCCTAACAACTTGTCTGTCTTTATTCTCAGATGACCTAAGAAAAAAAAGTTATTAATAGCCTTAGGGCATTAAATTTGAATGTCCTCTTAGGTAAATATCTATCGTCTGGTGACAAAGAACTCTGTGGAAGAAGACATCATTGAACGAGCCAAGAGGAAGATGGTGCTAGACCATCTGGTCATCCAACGCATGGACACCACAGGACGGGCCATCCTTGACCGCAAGGCCAACAACCCCAATGCCACTTCAGTCCCCTTCAACAAGGAGGAACTGTCAGCCATTTTGAAGTTTGGAGCTGAAGAGCTTTTCAAAGATGATGATGAGAATGAAGATGAACCAGCCGTATGTTCATGCATCCTTCCACCAGGCTTTGCCTGACATATAGTGCATCCATTGTGGTTGTGGGTTGTCCAGTCTATGTGGCTCCTGAGCTGATATGATGAGCTTTTCAGAATATATAATTAGAAGTGGGTGGTATCAATCTAGGTACCCATATTAGAGTGCAAGAGCATCTCTTTCTGCTATTGGGGGATTCAATGGCACTGATATTTTCCTAGTTTCAGGATAAGTGCCTGAAGCCAATCTAGGTGCCAAATGCTTTGGCATGTCATTCCACCTTATCACACGGGTTTGCTATTTGTCCACATGACATGTGAATGAATTTGACCATTGCTTATTCTTTTGACCCACATCTTGAGTGGTTGCACTCCATCATAGCTTATTCCTTTATAGTATGTTTCAGGAAGTTATTGTTCTTTGCAGTGTGATATCGATGACATCCTACATCGTGCTGAGTTGCGTGAGGATGATGAAGGGAAGATGCCTGGAGATGAGCTTCTTTCAGCTTTTAAAATGGCTAGTTTTGCTATTGAAGAAGATGAAGATGAAGGAGGGAAGGTGGAAATTGAATCAGATCACAAGGATCCAGATGTCAATTCTAAAGACTGGGCTGAAATCATTCCAGAAAACTTTCGTAAGAAAGTTGAAGCTGAGGAGCGAGATAAGGAGCTTAAAGACATCTATCTACCCCCAAGGTCTCACATTTTCTTGATTTCCATTTCTGTTCTGTCATTATTTGTAATGTGAATGGAGATTTCTTTGAACAAAGTACTTTGCTGTGATTCTCAGGAGTCGAAAGACTCTTCAGCAATTACAGGAAGAGGAGGATGAAGAATATGGCAAAAAGAAAAAGAAAACAAAAAATGATGAAGAGGAAGATGATGATGATGAAGCAGATGATGATGACTTCCGCAGTAGGAGAGGCCGTGGTGCTTCCATGACCAAGGAGAAGATCAAGGGCTTCAATGATGCTGAGGTCATATCATATGCACTTATCCTATATTAAGTCTCATCCTATATTAGGTCTTGAGGTTTTAACAAACTCCACAAATCTTTCCCTATAGATGCGAAGATTTGTGCGGAGTTGGAAGAAGTTTGGAAACCCAATGCAGAGGTTGGATGCCATAGCTGGGGATGCAGAGCTCCTGGAGAAGCCCATGGGTGACCTGCGACGTCTTGGAGAGCTACTCCTCAGGCGCTGTGAGGAGGCTCTCAGGCAACAGCAAGAGAAAATAGATGCAACCCCAGCTGATTCTGCTGATGCTTCGATGCCTGGTTTGCTTTCCTCTATATCCTGAAAGCCTTTCAAATGTGTTGAGACATCAGCAGTGAGCATATGGATCTGGATTGCAGGTCGGGGGAGACGGGGACCATCATTCAAGGTTGGGGGAGTGTCAGTGAATGCTAAGACATTAAAGGCACAGATGACTGACTTGCAGCCGCTGGCGGCTGTCATCCCCTCTTCAAAGAAAGTCAGGGATGCTTGGGTCTTGGAGATCCCACGGTTAAAGCCAGCACAATTTGACTGTGACTGGACCATCCAAGACGACTCAGCTCTCCTCAGGTACAGAATTCCTCATCATCAAAACCACACCTTCAATTCCAAAATACTTAATTATTCTATCATTTCTATTGATGCATTCAGAGGAGTGTATGAGTATGGGATGGGTGCTTGGGAACAAATCAAGATGGATCCAATCTTGGGTCTTACTGACAAAATCCTGCCAACTGGTGCAGATAAGAAACCTCAGTCAAAGCAACTCCAGTCTCGTTGTGACTACCTCCTTCGCCTACTTAGGCGATCTCATAACCCTCCCCCAGGCAAGGTGAGTGTCTTTGGAGCTGCCAGGTTTGGCTATCCTTTCTTTAGACGTCCATTCTTACAGTTTTTAATGCTGAATGCCTTTTCAGGGGAGTCCCAGAAAGGGTCGGAAGGTGAAAACGAAAGCCATTGTGGAAGACAACGATATTTCATCAGATGATGAGGATGACAAATTGAAGCCAGAAGATTCTGGAAAGCAGAAAGAGAAGGAGGATAGTAAAAAGGAAATGCATCATGCCATTAATGCCAAGCATGATCATGATAAGGATAAGAAAAAGAAAGTGGGTCAATCTCATCATCATCATCATCGTGAACAAAATCAACATCAAAATCAATATCAGCATCAACGCCATCATGGAACCAAGAAATCTGATGAAGGTCCCATGCACTTTACAACCCATGAACCAGTTGCATTGCATCCAGCCAATCAGGCAGAAGTATTCCTCTCGGTTGGTGCTTGATGGCTCCTTTATTGTACGTCTCTCTTGCAGTTTCTGGTGTATGTCTATTGATGTTGTGTTCAATATGATACAGTGCAAAGAGAAGATGAGACCAGTAAAGAAGGCATTGAAGGCATTAGACCGACCTGAGGAAGGCCTGAACGAGAAGGAGCAGGTGGCTCACACACGACATTGCCTCCGGCTTATTGGAGATCACATCTGTTCCCTCCTCAAGGAACATGCAGATGACATGGGGAAGCTGAAGGAATGGAGACATCACCTTTGGTCTTTTGTCTCCCAGTTCACAGAATGTGATGCCAAGAAGCTGTACAAGCTTTACAAAAAAGCAAAAAAGAAGGAGAAGGATAAGGAAAAGGAGAAAGAAAAGGAAAAGGAGAGAGACAAGACCAAGGAAAAAGTGAGTGTTTTATTAATTTTTCCAACTCATTAGCATTGCATTCAATTTTTTTATCTTTACCCAATTTTCTTATAGCAAGCTTTTAGGGAGGAAGTATCAGCAATAAAAACTCATAATATGTTTCTCTTATAATTGTGATTTCCTCTTAGGATCCTGGAGCACGAGAGAAGGGGAAAAGGAAGCTGAATTTTCACAATTCTGATGCTGAAAACCAAGATGCCTCACCCTCTAAAAAACCCTATCGTGACTCTTCATATCGCAAATCATCTTTCTCCAAGTTGTCCATCTTTCTTCTTGCTTTGCTTTGTCATAAATCTTATTAAAATGCACTACTAAAGTCTGCTTATCCCTCTGCAGGGGTGAGAATGATTCCAAAGGGAGTCATCACCATCATCAATCATATCACCAGCATTCAGGCACTGGGAGAAGTGCTGTATGGGACAGGAGTTCACAACAACACCACCAACAGCCACATCACGTCCCTCATGAATATCCTCATCAGCGAGGGCCACCCATGCACTGGCCAGCAGGCTCTCATCCATATCAGCATAAGGATAGGTGGGTCTTCCTGTCTGAGGCTCTTGCTTTGTAACAGAAGGGATGTGATGCTAGGTGTTTTTTATTCTTCAAATTAAGGTATAGAGATGGTGGTGGAGGTGAAGGTGGAAGTGGATGGTATGCAGGTGGCCCCCCTCAACTTCCACTGCCACCCCCTGTTTGGGGAGGTGCCCCTGGGTTCCAGCCCAGTTATCCTGGTTTTCCATATGACTCGGAATTCAGAGATCGAGGCAGTTTCTATCCAAGTCACAAGCACCCTAAGTCTTCCCTGTGATATTTGAGCAACTTGGAGAAGGAAAAAAGTTTTGTTTCTTCCTGCACATTGTCTGCGATGCTGAACTCGTGTGATATCTTGTGTTGAGTACGATTGGACAGATTAAGTTTATTGTCCATCTGTGTTGCAGTGGGAGTAAGCGTTCCATGTTTTCTCATGTTAATCGGGATGTATGCCTGCATTTTGAGATGAAAATGGTTTCTTTTTTCTAAGAAACTCTTCATATTCATTGCTTGGTCTCGCTAGGTAAGAGCTTATGGCATTCGAGCGATGAATATCATGGATATTCTTCATTGTAAAGAAAGAAAAATTTACACAACCAGAACTGGTAAGTAGCAACCGTAAGTCGGGGAAGTGCATAACAAATTTTCCCATTCATTGGAACCTTTCTGAGGAGAGAGGTGAAGGGGAATATCCTGTTGTATACGCATACAACATGCCCCGACATGGTCATGTTCCATCTCTCCATCCATTTCAATATCCTCATGCTCTCTAGCTTTCAATGAGCTTTCTTTATTTGCAGAGGAAAAGAGACTCCATAGCCCAGATGTCTGAGGATATCTGCAAAGCTTTCATCAATTTTCCCTAGAACGCTGCTTCCGAATTCTCACAGTAATTCCTTAAAGAAAAACTGGATATTTTATCCTTTCAACGGGCACTTTCTTGATGTATTTTGAGTTCCTAAAGCGTCTTCAGGCACTTTGTTGCCCTTAAGCTGTCAGTTTCCGAATGTTTAGTTACTCAAGGGTGAGGCAGGAGTCACTTTCCATCCTCAGTGGCATAGGCAGGAAATCGGCAAGGGGGGGATTGAGGCCAGGTAGACACCCAACCATACACCTAGCTCCACTACCTGGAATTTACCTTTTCAAAGAAATCATGGTCTTGCATCCTGGGTCTGTGGATGGACATCAGACTTTCCTTGAAGGGGCAAAGCTAAAATAGGAATTCTCAAGGAATGTTGAAATATGCCTGTCATTGTCACTGACCAGGACGCCCAAAGGGGGGGTTCTAAGCCCCCCACTTCCCAACGCCACTGCCCATTCGGGACGTTCACTGTGCACCGCCTGGCCTTAAGGATAAAGTCACTATGTCAACACGATTGCGGCCATGACAAACGACATGATATCACTCTGATAGTCATAATACGTTCACCAAGTGGACATTGTAATCCTTCGATACGAAACATTGCCAGTCGAATGGTATCACCAACATTAGCAAAACAACCGACTTCGTGGTGAGAGAAGAACCTATAAATACGTGAAGCTTTCGTTGTGAGACAACTCTTGTGGACATAAAAAAAGGGAAAAGAATGAAAGTCCTCGTTTCAACATCTTGAAGACTTTGAGTTCAGGGAATCGGAAGTAACACTCGAGTAGATGCTTTCATCTGGTGATAGGAAGTAATACGGAAAGTTAGCCACGATAAATACTGCCCCCCCCTCCCGTGTGCCAAATGCATAATTCCGGTAGGGCACTTTTTTTTCGAAAAAACGCAAATTGCCTTTTAGTTGCAAATGACACTCAACCATACACACGTGAATACTCCAGCATGTCCAAATACTTCTCGAAGTACTTACGTGCCTCTTACTGGCCTTGATCTACCAGAGATAAGGCACGTCGTCATCATATGTTTGTTGAGTGAACAATAGGACGAATACGTGATACTCATACCATTCCTTGGTCTGAATATGAACCTACATCAATTCCTTCGTGTAGTCAAAACGCGACAAGAGTGATTTGCGATTTCATGATTTTCAAAATACAGTGGAATATAAACTATGCCCGGAATGAGACAAAATGAGCAATTCAGCGCTCTGTCAAAGACTTCCGTGAAGTTTCTCATCCAGACATTCCAATAACCACATCGTCACTTTGGTCAAAGACATAGCTCGAGGGCTTTCAATTGACGCTAGGAAACGTGAGGAGCCGGTGGTTAGGGATAGGCCAGGGAAGAGTTATATCTTGTGATAGCGATGACACGGCCGTTGACACTCGTGTCGGTGACAGAGTTCACTTTGCTCTGATTGCGGTCTTTTGTCCTTCGGTTGACATGTTCATGAATACGACTTGTCCGGTTTTCAAAACGATACCATCGAGTCGACTCGGTTTGGGGTATTTATTTTCTGCTCCTTTCTCTCGCGAGCGGAAAGGTATAAAAAAGGCATCATTCCAATTTGGGCCCAGCTCCGTCGCAAATATTTGCGACATCCGTGCCAACAGTTTTTATGCATTGCTTCATATCGCTGCTGGGATTTTGCGCAGACTTTTTACCGGCTCCAACATGTGCACAATCTGAAAATAGTAAAATGAAAACTCCATCTCTACTCCTTGACACGGCAGCTAAAGTTCCCTGAAGTTGAAAGTAAAAATTTACTGGTGCACTGTGTGTGCAACTATGCTAATGTTCGGTTACCGGTTTTTTGTTGCTGAGCGGAAAGGGAACGTGAATCCATTACTGGACGTTCAAGCTTTGAATTTTCGATTGGCATTTTGACCTCGCACTCCAGATCTGGAACGGGGTGAGCGACTTCCACTGATCTCAGATGGCGTTGAGGCGACGTCCGATCTGAGGGCATCTTCGACTCTGTGCGGTTTCGTCGATCTATATCGACCGATATGATAGATGTTGCAACCTCCTAAACTTGCAAATCCCCCGATTTCCAAATTTTTATGTGTTTTTTTTATGTTTTTAACGATTGAAAGTGCTTACTCAATGAAGGTTCCACTGTTTTCAGCTATACTTAGGCATCAGACAGGGAGGCATTCCCTGATCCGCCATATGAATGGAGAGAAATTGAATGTGCGCCAGACGTTGTAGGCTATTTAGGTCATAGGTTCTCTTCAGACTCGTGGAGCTCGTCCTTTCGGCTTCGGAAAATGTAAATACCCTCAACAAAAACGAACCGTGACCAAGGAGACATGATTAAATTAGGCACCAGCTTCAGCAAGCACATCCACGTACCTACGTCAACTGGGAGCTGACTCGAAATGAATCTCGCTCTACCGAAGGTCACGTGACTTCCAAGCCATCCCTGATTGGAGGATCTCTGCATCGCGATCACCCCAAGAGAGCGGCCGGACCCTCCACGTCTCAGACGTCTTCCTCACGCTGGTGGCGTCGTGACGTCATTCGTTCTGCGGTCCCGTCCGCTCAAAACGAAACTCCCTCCCGTCTCGGTTGAACCGGCTGACAAAAGTTCGTGCTTTCGAATTTTCATCGCTAGATGTCTCGATGGGAAGGGGGACCTAGCCCGCACTCTCGCGCTAATTATAGAGAGAATCGAGGCCAGGGAGTTCATTCGTCTCCATCCTCGCCCGAAGTACCTCTCTCGAAATTGAATACCAAGGCTACGAAACTCTCGACTGGATGAGGTCGAAGGTGAGGACAAAGAATACTTCCTTTTGAGTGTCACTGTACCGAATGGGGCATGACGTCAACTGTGTCGTTTCATCAGAGAGTGCAGAAATTGTTGAAGGAATTCCTGGGAGTGCCCGAGACCTTTCACTCTTGGAGAATTGTGACATTGGCACTTTAAGAGACACGGGCGATTGGCGGCGAATGTGAATCAGCATGAGACGCTCGGACGGGGTTACAATTTTGTTTTTAACAGTTACAGGATTTTTTAAAATGAAGTTCCCTCTGTTCGATTTTGAGGTCCCCTTGGCGCAATTTCAGTGTTCCTGTTGAAGTTTCACCTTCCAGAGCAGTTTAACAGTCGTAGCAGGGATTTTACCCCTTCTTCCGTGATCCCGCAGCCTTGGAATGTGGGCGAGTGAAGGGCGAGAGGAGGGCGAGGAGAGAGTCTCCTTGCCAGCGGGAGGTCGGGGGGGAGAGGGCAACTGCTCTCCTTCCGGAATTCCCCCCTTCCCCCTCCCCCCCTCCTCCCCCTCAACGAAATGACTCTCCAGGTGGGTAGGCAGGAGGAGATATCATCGTGTAATTGAATTAATTATGAGTGACCCCATTACCGAAGGGAGAACTGTATTTTTTTTTTGTCTGCCCTGCACGCCAACCAGCTTCTGCGAAACTTTGTCGACGGTATCGTCATGAATCCGCGATTAACAGATTGGCAAAATTGGGAATTCCTATCACTTCGTGCTCGATGCTGATCCTCCTCCGCATTTAACCCGTGACGCGGACCAGAGTTCCCAGGTGCGGAAAAAAGAAAATAGCATAAATAGAAAAATAGCGTTTTTTACCCCAAAGAAAGAAATCCTGGGTTAAGAAAACACACACGGCGAAGATAGAGCACCAAACGCTCCCCTTCAACACATAATTTCTCGCATCTCCAGCCTCATTTATTAGCCCGAGCAGCTCTTGCGGCACATCCGTTTCCTCCGAAATTCTAATTTTGTGAGGAAAAAACAGCAGGACATTCCGAGGATCTTGCCGGTGGTCTGTGAGCCCCCACGAAGAACACGAAAGAACACATGGTATCGTGAAGCTACAGCTACAGCTGAAAATAGTATGTCACTTGAAAAATTCGTGTTGGCAATCCGCTGACAAAAGCAGGTCCTGGCAACCCTGCTCGGATTCAACCCTGCTTGGAACTCATTCCCAGCTCCAATTCCTCCATCCGTGAGATTTACGATGAGTGATGAGGCTTGTAAGTCATCTGGGATGCAATTCGAGGTTTCTTGCATGTTTTTTTTTTTTTTTTTTACACTGGCTGAAAAACAAGCTAATTAATCAAAATGCAGGATTCTTTTTTTTTTCCTTTTTACCCGTAGGGTAAGAGCGAATAGCAGAGACACTTTCCGAATTTCATGCAAAGTTCCGTTTTAGATAACGAATAAATCCAAACTGATCGTGACGCCTAGAATCCTTTCTGTGAAAATTCTTTCGAAGAAGAATTTGTCTTCACATGAGGGAAGGACTGCAGAGAACGAAAAGAACCAGACGAGGACTCGTTTCAGAAAACCCTCCTCTCAGCAATTCTTCCTCGAGGAACTTGCATTTAGTCAAGCGCGAAAGAGAAAAGATAAAAACGACGAAAGGGGTCAAATCTCTTCTTTTTTTTTCTCTCCCAGCAGCAAAAGAACGAATTTAAGACACAATCCGAAATAACTTCCCTTTCAATCCTCCTTAAGAAGTTCAATCCCCGAAGACAGTTGGATGACAGGTCCATCCATCTATTCTATAATGTCACATCATAGATTAACGTAAACATGAGATTAATGTAATGAGATTAACGCGAATGAACCGGCCCCCAAGAAACCTATTTATGGAATGTGGAAATACATTAACGTATGTTTATCACACCTGGAACATGGCACTCGAGGAGAAAAGGGATATCGGCGAATGGTCGATGTGAACTCTCCCTACGACTAGCCATCTTGGAGGTGGCCTTCTTTTTTATCGGATGATGTCCTTATGCACATGTTCGATCGAAAACTTTCAGGCGTCATCACGCGAGGGAGACCCAGGAGTCATCCGCGAGGGAGACCTAGGAGTCATCCGCGAGGGAGGCCCGGGAGATGTCCTCGAGGGAGACCAAGGAGTCATCCGAGGAATTGCTGGAGGAATCGGATGAGCTCTTGGATGAGCCCCATTTCCGGCCTTCATCCCACCTTCACGCCCGTACGGTAAATTGATGACCTGGTTACCAAGGGCACGACGATTGAGGGCGAGAATTGCATGGAGAAATTGCCTTCATATCCAGAAGGCTGTTTTTGCAGTCGTGCTGTCGGGGAATAAAGAAGCGACATCGAAGAAAGGAATGGAGTGATTTCCTTTTATTCCCTTGTCCGAACACGAATACCTCGAGGGAGAGTGCGGATCCTCGCTTTTTCCTCGGGCTAAGACTGGTTTCAACACTGCAGCCAAGTTCCAATTCGATTTCAGTCATGGTTCAGTCGCAAATGGGATTCCGCTGTGAGAGTCGTCGATACGAGCACAGCGGAACTTAAGTCAGACCAAAGTCTCAACCGGAGCTAAAACCGAACTGCCGTTTTGAAATCAGCTCGAAGGAAGGCTTTTCCCAAACAATCAATTTCATTTGGTACATTTCTTTTCTGCTTTTAAGTGGGCCCCTTTCCTTTTTCGCCATATCAAGGTCCTTTCGCGTGTTGCAACTTCATTCGCTCGTGTTCGAATCTGCACTCACTCCTGCGGATGGGAATCTGCGAACTTAGAACAATTGCCCTTTGAGGAAAGGCACACTTGCTCTTCGAGGAACGAATGCCTGACCCTCGGATCGACCTTTGCGCGCTGCATCGTCGTCGGCGATCACACGCTCGGCAATGGAGCCCGAGAGATTGTATACCGTTCGTGCACGTTGCAAAATCGACCTTCGACCAGATATCCGTGATCGGCAACGCGAACGGCCGATGATTCACGGCGGAAACCCGCCGTTGAAAGATGGGATTTTTTTTCTCTCGGTTCCCTGCCAAGAAGACTTCCAACCTGTGAGACCCGGCCGACCTTTTCTTCGGCGACGCGGGGGAGAGGGGAGGAACGAGAAGATATTTTTGGGATTCTCCCGAGAGAGGTGGTTGGAGTAAGTTAGCAGGACGGGGTGGCCCCAATAACCCGCTTTCTACGCTTTTCCCGCTTCATTCCCCTCCCCCTCGTTCCCGCTTCATCTTTCCGGTCCCATCTACGCGCCGTTTCGACTCATCTCGAGCCGCTTCGATCCATTTGAAGCGTTTTCCAAAAAGGCGATGGTGGATGCTTTCCAAGATGACGTCACCGACGGAAAGGTTTCTCAACGATCGCCTTGTGTCATCTAATGATGCGGAGATCCATCCATCTCGCTCGCGATTGCCGCGGAATCAGGCGGCTTTAACGGCTATAAATAGGAAGGCCAAGTTCGTACCGATGTTAGGGACACCGCCGGTTCCCCTCATAGATATACGGATTCTCGGGTCGTTCGACGAGCAATGGATTCTTCGACGATGCTCATCATGAAGACGCAATAAATCCTCGGATTCCCTCGGGGGACGAACGCTTATCGAAACTGTCGGCCTTCGCCCTTCAGTCATGTCCAAGCACCTGCCGAGTGTCAACTAATATGTTACCGATGTCGTGCGCTCTGGAAGGTTGCGGTATCGAAAAAGTGTGACGGGATTTTATGACGAATGACCATGGCCCGGGGATTCATTGTGGCAGAGGCAACTGGCCTCGGAACAGAACCGACGGGGTTTCGCCATCTCGTTGACTCATACTCGCTTCACACGTCCCTTATCTCCCTTTCCCCCGTGTGATCCGGCCCCAAACTCCCCCCCTCGGACGTTTCCCACCCCGAAATTCCTCGGACCCGGATCCCACCCCCGTAGGCACCGATGCCTCCGAGTTTCGAGGGGTATCGATGTCCATATGGAGAGTGGCCGCCGGACTGACCTTGGCCGTTACCCGCTTTCTCTTATGCAATGATGAGACTGGCTACCTTCTCCCCCCTTTTTTTTCTCCTTCCTTCCTTCTTTCAGACCTCAGGGCGTATCGTTTAGTTGATTTTACCATTCTCGACAGCCGGTAGGAAGGTTACACGAGGCTCTTAGGTTCTGTTGTGATTTTAACTAATTTTCGGGCTAATCGCTCTCGATTTCCTTTTTCGATCTCTACTTTCTCTGTCTCGGGGGAGAAAAAAAAATTCGGAGAGCGGACACAAGGCGTATCCTCATTTAGTATGCGTTTGACCTTGAGTAAGTTCATTACGCTTCGGTCAAGCCTTCCTCGGATGCGGAATCTCCATCGGGATGCTGCGGATGATCCCCGGCCGCGGAGGTGAGATGCGTGTGCCGAGATTTGTAGCAGGCAGGCGTTGAGCTCTATTTTTAGCCTCTCTTTTACCTTCACGGATTCCCCGAGCGAATTCCCCATCACGAAGGAGCAATCGCGATACCCCTCCGACGAATCCCTCCGATCCCCCCGTACCCAATTAGGACCCCGTGCGAACGGTACTCCCCTCCTCAAGGACCGTCCTCGGACACCGATGAAAAGGAAACCAGGCAGGAGAGAAGAGATAGCATTCGAGGCAGTGCCGTGACGTAATCGGTAGAGGGGTGGGATTTTGGCTTCTAGGCCCTTACAGCCTGGCCAAGAATACTTCCTCTCCTCAGTCCCTCTTCTGCTCCCTTCCTGCCCACCACCCCCAACACGAACTCCGTGGTGTTCGATCGAAGGTGCACGGCTGTGTTGCTCGGTTGTGAGCGTGCGAGCGAAATCTCTCTTCCGTGAATTCATTTGCCCTCATCGAGTCCTCTGTTAGAATCGTGTGTTTTTTGCCTTTTAGGAGCCGTCGATTTTCAACCTGACAGGCATAATGTACCGGTACTTATCGTAGGCTTATCGCGAAAAGTGAAAGGGAACGATTCGCGTCGAAGGCGTAAATGTAGCCTATTCGAGTAAAAATGAGCCTCCGTGTAGATAAGACGGTACTTAGTTGTTGACTGTTGACTTACTCCACTAAAGCCAACCAAAGAGAGACCCGAATCGATCGGATTGGTGCGTTCAGTGTCCATATGCTTCCTTCGATATGCATTTCTTTGGTCGTCTTGCAATAGGCAAGTCTATGGAATATGATAGAGGAGAAAATTACTTAAAGCTGCATGCATATAGTTATACTTAAGAACAAGAATCGTAGCCCACGAAATGCGTCAAGGTTTTGACCTTTTCCAGTTAATTAAGTTAATTTTCCCTGGAGTATCACGTTGACCTTAGCTATTCTTTAACTTGCATTTATTCCCCATTCTTCGATGGACGAATTCATTACGCGTTACGGATAAGTATTAATTACGCACGTAATTCTATGGATTCTATGGTGAAGCCGTACGTATCGACTGTAAACCACGTAATCTCTCTACATTTATTGTTGTTACATCGCTTGATATCCCGGCCAAGGATGTAAGCTGAGGTCGGGCCGACGTGACACGTGGAAATGGTTGCGTGAAGAGCTTGCCGAGACCATCACAAAATAGAAGTTTCATATTACAGTATCTCCATTCATAAAATATTATCTCGAATTCCTCTTCTACTGATAACCTTCGCATCTGCGTCACAATAGTTCACGATTTTCTCCTCCTGATTTTCTCGGGAAGTTGCGAAAAAAAAATATCGCGAAGCGTGCAGGCGCGCAAGGAGACCACGTTGCCGGTATTTTGTAAGGCGTTTTCCTTCATGTGATCCGACATGGAGACAGAGGATCCCCAAGGACACGACCTTATATGGAAGAAGAGAAAACATGAAAAATGAAACGTGCTCCTGTGAATCTCTTCGCCTGTCTGACCGGCGGCCCTTCCAGGCGGTCCTCCCCGCCCTCCAGGCGCTCCACGCTCGAACGTAGCAGCACCTAAAAAAAGCTTTAATTTATTCCACATACCATTTTGTGATTACTCTCGCCCTCCTCGTAATAGTGTGTGTGGGAGTGAATGCTTTCTCGTCACGACGTGATACCAATAGCGCCTCCCACAGCGCATTTGTTTCCTATGCCTCGGGGAAATGTCACCGGCATTGGACGAATAGAAGTTTGAATAACGCACCAAGGGGGTCGAAGAAGAGTCTCTCTGCAATAGTTTTAAGTTTACGTTATTTCGATTGATTCATGATGTAATATCGTTGAAAGCTGTCATAAAAACGTCCTAATTTATATGGCAATTGCGTCTGCATTTACGCCGTTAGTCTCAAGGTTGCGTCTGTGATTAATCAGTTAATTGCTCAATCAACCTTTTTTTTTCAATCAAACCAGAAGCATTAACGTATAGCTCCTGCGGAAACGGCATCACGACTCATTCCTTTGTTTGGTCCCATTCCAGATCCTTCCTGGATATTTTGAAAGGTCTTTAAGTAGACTTCCTTTCCTCTCCTGTTCGCGAGAAAGAGAAAAGAGCGAGAAAAATGGACGCAATCAAGAAGAAGATGCAGGCGATGAAGCTGGAGAAGGACAACGCCATGGACAGGGCAGACACCCTGGAACAGCAAAGCAAGGACTCCAACCTCAGAGCCGAAAAGGTCCGAAAACGATTCATGGAGAGAAATTGAAGTGCGGACGAGATGAATAAAAATTATGATTGTGATTGCTGATGATTGCTGATGTAGGCCGAGGAAGAGGTGAGGGCGTTGCAGAAGAAAATGCAACAGGTGGAGAATGACCTCGATCAGGTCCAGGAGCAACTGACCCAGGCCAACACCAAGTTGGAAGAGAAAGACAAGGCCCTGCAAAATGTGAGTCAGGGTTTCTTCCGAAGTCAAGCGTTTTGAAAGATGTGATGATGGACGAACATTGTGGCCTTGGGCCAAAAACTGGGATATTTCTAACCATGAAACCGGAGACTAATTATATTTAGTCCTGATTCTGGAAATTTCTTGAGGGTGAGCAAATATATTACAAAATATAAACCATGGTTAGTTGGGAGAATGGTTTGGACTGTCTTCGGTCGAACAGGAGCTAATATGGGCAAAGGGGGGGGGGGGGGGGAGGGGATGGTGGAGGGGGGCAT